AAGAGATTGATGTTATTAATTTCAGCGTGCTCGGCTCCACTATCAACATTCTTGGCACAAGCAGTCAGAAAATGAAAGAGGAACCACATTGGGAAAGTCGGCTGTCACAGGACTGCTCCAAAATGCTAAATAACACTGATGTCCGTCTAGAGACCAAGGTGCGCATAATTCAGGCTGTGGTCTTTGCAATTAGTTGCTATGCATTAGAGAGCTGGACAGTAACTTAGGATGACAGAAGAATCAGTGACTTTGAGTTGTGGTGTTAAAGAAAATTGAACATGCCATTGTTCCCCAAGAGAAGAAGTGGATTTTGAAGCTCTGTCTCACATGCTTGGGGTAGGTTGCCAGGAAGTGTTAGTCCTTGAAGAAGGAAATCATGCTTGGAAAAGTGAAGGGACAGTGAAAAGGAGGAAGACTTCAGATGACATGGATTGGTATAGTAAATGAGAGTTTGGATCAGGATAGTGCAAAGTTCAGAGCTACTATATATAGGGTCGCTATGAGTGGCAGGACACTCAATGGCACATAACAACAACATCTGAAAATTTTATTTTTTTCCTCTCTAAAAATTATCACGCTGTGGTATCATGTACTTCAATTCCTAAAAAGTGATGATTTTAAAATATCTCTGTCTTTACCAAACCATTCTTACCCAATTATGCACCACGTATTTACAGCTGTCCATTTCTCAAAATCGTGAAATATAATATGACTCAACATACATTAATTACCCACCAACTCAAAATAGCCTCAATCGTCTCTATTATTAATTTAAATATGCATAAATTTGATTACATAACCAATGTCCCATTCTTGTTTTTTTCTCGTGTATATCACATGCAAATAAAATCTTCTTGAATATTGTTTAAACCCGATAGAACATTACATTGACAGGGAACTGCTTGAAATTCAGGTGGGATTCAGAAGAGGCTCTAGCAGGAGCTATATCATGGCTGAAGTTGAGCAGATGTTGGCTGAAAGTAGAGAATGCCAGAAGGATAGTTATACGTGTTTTGTGACTTTAAAGACATTTGCTTATGTGGATCCAGAACTAATCATAGCTAATATGAATTCCAGAACTTTTAGCTGTCCTCTTGGACACGTTCACTTCACATACTTTGTGCATGGTGCTAGGATGGGCTATTCCTTAGAGAAGGACTTGATGCTGGGAATGGTGGAGAGTTGGTGAAGGAGAAGACCCTCAATCAGGTGGATTGACATGGTGACTACTGCAATGGGTTCTTGTATGTCAGGAGGTGTGAGGATGACACTGAATAGACCAGGATTCAGATCTTTTGTTCATTGGGTCACTATGAATTGTGCTCTGCTCAACAGCACCTAACAACAACAGCAACAACATGGATATAGATATAGGACCTATACAGAGACAAAGAAATGACTGTCATATAAGAAAGAATGAGATATCACAGCATGGTTTATAACCAGGAAAGGAGTATATCAGAGTTTGATCATTTCTCCATACTTACTCAAATGTACAGTAAGCAGATATTTTGAGAACCTGGACTAAATGAAAAAAATGTAGCATCGGCTTTGGAGATAGAATTATCAATAATCTACATTATGCAGGAGACACAACCTTACTTGTAGAAATTGAAAGTGAAGAGGACTAGAAACACTGGCTGCAAACATCAAAGAATAAAGTCGCCAACTTATCAATATCAAGAAATCAAAATCTATTTTATCTATTTTATCTTCTCCTGGTTGTAGATTTTTCAGGATACTTGGGAGACTGTTTATGTTCTGGACTAGGACTACTAGAATTCTTCCAAGCTTTTCTTTAATGAAGTTTATAGTCCCTGGTTTTAGTCCTAGATCCATGATCCACCTTTGGTTGGTTTTTGTATATGGAGTGAGGTGTGGATCTTGCTTGAGTCTTCTGCAGATATTTTTCCAATTTTGCCAGCACCATTTGTTAAAAAGGCTGTCATTTCCCCACTTAACTGACTCATCTCCTTGTCAAAAATCAGTTGACCATATGTAGATGGGCTGATTTCTGGGCTCTCAATTCTATTCCATTGATCTATGTGTCTGTCATTGCACCAGTTCCATGCTGTCTTAACCACCACGACAGTGTAGTAGGATTTAAAATCAGGGAGTGAGATGCCTCCTACCTTTTTTTGATTTTTGAGGAGTGCTTTGCTTATTCGGGGCTTCTTTCCATTCCAAATGAAACCAGAGATTACCTTTTTCGTCTCCTTGAAGAATGGGATTGGTATTTCTATTGGGACTGCATTGAATGTACAAATTGCTTTTGGTAGTATTGCCATTTTCACAATATTGAGTCTTCCTATCCATGAGCAAAGGATGTTCTTCCATTTCTCCAGGTCTCTTTTTGTTTCTTGTAGTAATGTTTTGTAATTTTCTTTGAATAGATCCTTTGTGCTTCTAGTTATATTTACTCCCAAATATTTTATCTTGTGATTAGCTATTGTGAAGGGTATTGTTTTTCTCAGCTTCAGCTCTGTATTCTCTTTGTCACTGTAGAGAAATCCAACTGATTTTTGTATGTTGATCTTGTATCCTGCTACTTGGCTGAATTGGCCAACTACGTCCAATAGTTTTCTTGCTGAGCCTTTAGGGTTTTCTAGGTATACTATCATATCATCTGCACAGAGAGATTAATTTACCTCCTCTTTGCCAATTTGGATACCTCTTATTTCCTTCTCTTGTATTATTGCTCTCGCTAAGACTTCCAATACAATATTGAATAAGAGAGGTGAGAGTGGGCATCCTTGCCTAGTTCCTGCTCTCAAAGGGAGTGCCTTTAACCTCTCTCCGTTGAGAACGATGTTGGCTCTTGGCTTTTCATAAATACGTTTTACTATGTTGAAGAAATTCCCCTCTAATCCTATTTTGTTGAGTGTTTTCATGAGGAAAGGGTGTTGGATTTTGTCAAAGGCCTTTCCTGCATCAATTGATAGGACCATGTGGTTCTTTTTCTTTGTTTTGTTAATATGATGAATTACATTGATTGTTTTCCTTGTGTTGAACCACCCTTGCATACCCATTTCCTGAAACAGTTTATGTAGAATTGGTGAAGATTTTCACTTTTGCAAGAAATAATGAAAAGCAAAGCCAGCATTCAGCACTTGGATGATTTTGAATTATTTGACAGGTTAAAAAGAATGTAAATGCTTCCTCACTTATCTAGTGTAAGTTTAAGAAATATGTCAGAGGACGGTACCACTTTGGGATTTTTCAGAAATCCTATCCTCATGGTCTACTACTTGATGGTCTGTCTACTTGACCTTCTAGCTATATTAACTGGAGATTTCCAGGACTTGTGTGTCTCTTTGACTTCATTCACATGAAGTCCATCAGCCAAGCATTCTCTACTTATTTGTTACAAATAACTCACAGTCAACTTTTACATCTGAAATCAAATTATATTTTTCTCTGTCATTGAGCCTTATAACATAGTCTTCAAATAATGAAGGGAAGGAAATTTGGCACAGGACAGTATATTTAGTTTGAGATATTTTCTGTTTTTCTACTAACGAGTTCCTTCCTCTCAGTTTCTAACCTCATAGAAGTGTATAGAAATTATGATTTTAGTTTAAGATTTTATTGTGTAATTACAATGCCTCCAAAGAGAGTTTTGAGAAAGAGTATCATACCTTCCAAGACTTGATTATTCTGATTTGTCTGTGAAGATGCCTCTGATTTTCTTGCTTTTCTCTCCAAAGAGACCTCATTTGTTCCAGAAGCTTTTGCTACAAAAGAAGAATGAATGTGAACTTAGCATGTGAGCTAAGATAGCACTGAAACCTTAGATTAATATATGGAGAGGTGTGTGGAACAAGTAATAAATAAGTGTTGGCGATATCCAAGAAGCTCCTGAATTTTTAATAACTGTGCTGCTGATTTTAGGAGAAGGAAATGTCTTATTGTAATAAGAGCCAAGGTTACACAGTGTACAAAGCATTATGCTGCTATCCAAAGGTCAGCACTTTGAAATCATGCTCTGCTTCATGAAACAATGAAGAATTTTAATTCTGTAAATCTTTAGTCTTGAAATCTCTAAGGACACTTGTTTCTAGATGGTTCTGTGAGTTTGAATCAGTACAATGGCAGGAGCATTTTGGGGTAAAAATTATGTCAGCTGACGAACATTTATAACTGAATTGCATTTCGAATTTTAGTTTTCTAAGGGCAGATCTATGGGTCAGATCTGTAACTAGGATCTGTAGGAGTCGTACTTAACTTGACGGCACCTAACAACAAGAAGAATGGCAAATCTAATTTTCTTGTGTTGTTAGGCTAACATAATAGAGTTCATTGGAATAGGGTGCTGGTGGTTATATGCAGTTCCAGAGGCGAATAACAAGAAATGGAGTGAATAACTTTATTAAACTCAATAGATTGTCATAATTCCAACTACGAGCAATGTCATCGTCATAATCAAAGTGTGATTTTTAAAATGGTAAATGATTTTTATATGATAAATTATTCTTAAATAGTAAATTCTTTTTACCCAATGGGCATAACTTTCCTTCTCTAGTTCCTGGGAGCCGTGATGCCCTAGTGGTAAGAGATGCACTGCCATCCAGAAGGCATGCAGTTTGAATACGCTTGCTGCTCCCTGGAAGGACAGGCACGGTCTTTCTGTGTTATTTAAACTACAACGGTCAGCTATGGGTTAGTTCTGATTCAACGGTACACAACAACAACAACAAAAGTACCTTTATCATCGGACTCAGTAAATAACCTCTATAAATAAAGTCTAAATAAACTATTAATTGTTATCCCATTTCCCCCCCTCCCCCCACCAATATTACTCAGATACGGCATCTCCCCTGGTATAAGTTTTGCTTACCCGGTATTTCTCAGCAGTCCATTCAATGGAACAGTCTAGGTGACTTTTGTGCTCCTTAGAATTACGGCAGGGAAAGCAAAGTGTCTCCCTGAACACTTCGCAGAAAAAGGTTTTTGGTCTCATGTGTATCTCACACATTTGTTGTTCTGAGCTCTGTAAAGAGGAAACCACTGCTCTTCTGGCAAGGAACACCCTTATATTCAAACGAATGTTGTCTTTAACGTTCGTTGAACATGATTTCTTACATTCAGGGCAGCTCAGAGCATTTGAGGCTTCCTCCCAGAAGGTATAGAGACAAGGCCTGCAAAAGTTGTGCCCACATTCGGTGGTGACGGGATCTATGAAATAACTCTTGCAGATGGAGCAGATATAATTTTTCTGGGAAGCGTTGGAATTCATGTTTCTAAGGAGAGAAAAGAAAATGAAGAGAAAATAATTTTTTCATTATTTCCATAAGGAAGAAGAGCTCTGTTGGTGTAGTCTGTAGAAGTTTCTTTGCAAGCACAAAGGCATATAATATAGCCTCTCTAGCAGTTCAAATGTACTAGCAACTTCATGGGTGACAGACAGATGGGCCATCTCCTGGGGAGAATTTCAACAGTAGGTCAGTCACGAATTTGAATTAAATGCACTGTCCAAATCCTCAACAATACTTTAGAGCAAGTGATTAGTGACTTAACACTGAGAGGGTTCTGTTATCTATGATAAAAATAGAATTCTGGGAAATAAAGAGGAGTCTTAATGCTTGTTGACATTTCAAACCTGATACTCCTTATTATGCCAGGAGAAGAAGGGTGGATTGTCTCCTCCCATGGGATTAACAGGCTCTGAAACCCCATGGGAGGGTCAACTATGGGTCGGTTCCAACTCTATAGTAGAGAACAGCAACACTCTTTATTACATAGGTTTCTGCTCCTTAACTAATTCAAAGATGGAAGTTTAACTCATTCAGAGGTATCTCAGAAGAAAACCCAGGAACCTACTAACCAAAAAGCTCTCTATGTAGCAAGACTTACTCAAAACACACATGAAATTACCAAGATTAGTAATCTTATGAACAGAAACGGGTTAAAAAAAAAAGTAATGAAACTATTTCTAGCTATCAAGCCTCACATTAAAAGACAAAGGAAAAAAAACATTTTTAAAGAGAAAACTTGCAGATGTGCTTGTTCCAGGGAGATGCAGTGCTAACCCAAAAAACCAGGATTCTGTTCCACCAGCGACTCTGCAGGAGAAAAATTCTCTCTGCTGGACACCCATTACAGTCTAGGAAACCCAATGGAGGCTCAGCTATGACGTATTTTCCATCAATGAGTAGGAAGTGAAAACTGCGGTAGTTAGTTTTGTGCGAACTATTCTTCAAGCTCAAAAGAAAATGCAAAGTCGTTGTTTGAGTTGGTTTGGACTCAAAAGTAATCTTCCATCGAGATTCTCAGGCTTTACATCCAGGTAGGATGAGATTGTCTGTCCGTCTCCCAAGGTACCACTGGTGGAAGCAGCCAAAGAACTTTGGGAGAATCGCTGCCTTTTCATAACCAGTGTGATACAGACTAT